TAATTCATAGGCTAGACAAAACATAGAAACAGAGAGAAAGAGAGAGAGGTATTGACATATAAGTGTAAATATGTATGAATATAATTATGGGTACATCAAATATTTCATATATTGCTTGCCAAACGAGTATCCAAGCCTGACCGTGACGTGATTGAGTTTTAGAAATAGTTTTTTCGCACTCAAAGTCAAGCCATAGACTCCATCCAATACATACTATTCCGATGCATATACGAATGTACACAATTAGCATTATCTTTCTAATCTATATGACAATTTTAAACCTACACATACTTACATTCATATTTGTTCTGCTTGGTTTGATTCGCTTCATCATCCACAGTTCAAAAGGCCATTTTCAATGCAAACTTTAATTCGAAAAAGTTCATTTCTCTTCGATCGAAGCCAACAAACTCGATGAGCTGCGGTGCTGAGGGGTGAGGAGAGTGGTCTAAAAATACCATAAATAGTTGTCATTAAAGGCAGAAGAAGCCCATAAATATTTCATTGTTCCTATGTGGAGAGGCGGGGACGGCAGAGGGAGGACACCAACTGGAAACTGCATCACAGCAGGCGGGGTACGACAACTTATCCATGGCCATAACAGCAGGCACACCAGAGAATATTGCATGGATATGGATATAGTGAGCCCAGAACAGAAGAAGAGTAGAAGCAGTGGCAGGGGGTGGTGCATAAGAAGGGAAGGGAAGACCAGGCCAGTTCCAGTTGGTCCATGAATAAATGGCAAAGTCAGCCCCAGCCTTGTGTCGCTGCCACGTCTTGTCGTGTGAATCGTTAAGAATCAAGAGAGAAGCGCTGGCAGTGTGGAGCGAATCTACAGACACCCTTGCGAGGTGTGGATCGTTGAACTATGTGATAGTTTATAGCGTTTTCGTTGTTAAAACTCATAATACCCACTGCTAGGGTATACTAAAATGCCAATTATTAATCGAGTATATAATTTAGAAGTCAGTTGCTCGTTATCTGGCAGCTGCAAGGTCCAACTGAACCTTAGGTCTGTACACAATTGTCTCATCTGAGATTATTAGATATTTTTTGCACTGCTGTAGGTACCAATTTACGTGTAGACAGATGAGTCACTGCAATTGCACACAATTACTGGTAATGGGAGGATGGAATAGTACTGCACGAACTTTTATTATTGGGTTCTAGGAACACATTCGAAAAAATCTTGTTGCCAGACAGGCGTGTGCCATGGACTGGGTTAATTAGCGCACCCGAAAAGCTTATTTGCTTACGCATTACTCATTCATTCGTTCATTCATTCATTAAGAAATCGATTGGTACCGGGGGATACCAAAGCGGAGATTCATTCATAAATTTTGCCAATAGGCGCGAACCGATTGAAGGGGCGTAACTACCACAACGGAAATTCGACAGAAACTGCAAGCAAATTTTGAGAAACAAAAGCTCTTCAGTTTTACAGTTTACCCAGGGACGGAGGAGGGGGAACGCTAAACTTCAAGATAAACTGTCAATCGCCACTGTGGAGGGGCTTCTGCGGCGGCTGGCTCTGCTGGACCCGATCCGGCGGCGACGTATGACACATGTTGATGATTCCAAGAAAACGCGTTACTCATTTCCCCCCTCCCGCAGAGACCCGCAGAGTGAGAGCCAGCGGCAGGGCGAGGGCAAAGGGGGAGAGCAACTTCGATTATTGGCAACAGGTTTAACACCACCCCCCACCACACACTCAGCTGTTAGCATAGCCGCGTCGAGCTGCGTGCGTTGCGCCAAAGCTTCCAAAAGCTCTCCCACGAGCGATCGAAGCGAGCAGAGCAGTCGTTGTCGTTGGCTCCCGACGCTGTACGAAGATCACTTGTTTTTGCGCGTTGCCCAGAGCGGATGTGTTGTGTGTGTGTTTAGCGGCGAGAGACCGAAACGAAGTTCGAGTTCTAGAATCCAACAACGAGTAACGAGTATTGAAAACGTTTGCAAATATTTAAAAAGAAGACGAACGGAAAGACCGTATCGAAAAGTGAATCGGTTCACGGTTCAGTTTCGAGTTTTGAGTTTTGAGTTTTGAGTTTTGTTTTTGCGGAAATATAATAGCCGGAAAATGACAGCGAGCACTTAGTGCAGTTTCTCGTCCAGATCCAGAGCCAGAGCCAGAGCCAGACATAAAGAGACAAAAGTAGAGACAAAAGGATTGGCACACTGGCGCAATAATAAATAATAAACAACGACACATCCAGAGCTGACGAAAACGCCCACAGCGGAATAACGCAGTGGAAACAACGGCGACGACAGCAGCAGCAGCTACATCAACAGCTACATACAACAAAAAAGCAACAAAAAGCTAATTAATTAATTTGTAAGTGTTGCAAGCAGCCAACAAAGGCAGCAAACAATAGTTCAATGATCTGTGACTGCATTGAGTGCCGCCAGCAGAAACTATCATCCACAGAGCCCATCCCACACGCACTCGCACACGCGAACGCACTCAATTGAAAGGTCAAGAAAAGAGAGCAAACTGATAAATCAACCCTCCCCTGCCCACCAACCCATTAATCAGGCCTAATTCCCCAGTGCCCCAACTGTATGCACTCCACTTGGAAGTGAACTTGAATTCGATTTCGATTCCAGTTCGGATTTTCATTTCGTAATGAGTTTTCTTGCACAATCGAATGCTAGTTGGGCGCCATATCACTAAGGTCAAGTTCTGAACACCTCGGACAAATACTTTATTATTGATTTCGGCGTGTGGACGCGACTGCGTGAGCATAACTCCCAGCCAAAACCGAACCCAATCATATCTTATCGCGTGTGCATTGTGGGCATGGGCTCTTGTTGGGGGAGAATGTCGGCTGATAAGGTGAACAATGCCAAAAGGCTAGAATCAAGTGGAATTTAATGTCGAGTTGAGTAATGCGAGGGTATTTTACAAACGCCGAAAGACGTCAGTGCCAAGACCTGGGCCAAACTGGTTAGAATCTATTCGATATTTGTGGCTTTTATTTGCTCTTTTTTGCATCTAATTAGATGTCAAACAGCAACAACTACAACAGGTTTGAGTCACACATTTCTGGATGAAAGAATTTCGAGTCAGATGAAATTTTGAGAGGAAGAGAAACCGGTTGAAGCAGCTGGCCAAATCAAGCTTATCGGCGAACCTTTAAACGAGCTCTTTATTATGACCCACTTCAGGCGCCTGCACATACACATACACTCGCACATGCTCCACATGTCGTATACGTAATGCTATTTGTAAGCCACAGGCAGGAAAAACTTTCGCGCATAATGCAATCTTCAGGCACTCAAATTTCGCTCTTATTGATCTAACAAACAATGAAATGCGTTCATTGTTATGGCGACCCAGCGCCCCACCCTTCAACCCAAAAACCCATCAACAGAGTTAACCAAACGAAGCCAACCTTAAACTGTCAACGGGGCGACCTTCAACCCGCGCGAAACATTTGCCCAAAATGGAAATTGTTTATGGTATTTGTTTAGCCAAAATTGTTACAATCAGATAAGTCAAGTTCACAGCAGAGAGAGTGAGCAATGGAGTAAATGCAAATACATCTATTATATATGTACTAAATATATACATATTTATAGGCTCATTTGGGCAGATCAAGCCGCTAATTGCTGAATATAAAAAGAGAGTTATTGTGTCCGCCCAGCCATAGAGCATATAGAGTGCCGGTCTACGTACAATCTTCCCATATTTGTAGACCCTAACCGTTGCCTCTTGGCACACACCTGATATGACTTATCGCACTTTTTCCCCCTTGTCATTTCTGCTGATGTCACACTCTGGTTCTCCCCGCAGGAGGAGTTGAATGCCTGAGTTGGATCAGCATGAAGGCATGGTAAATCCCGGCGAGCTCGGATCTCGGCCGGTAAACATCGCCATAAACATAAACATAAACATAAACGTTGATAAAGCCCACGTATTTGTCCGATTCTGTTGCCGACTGTCGCTGACATTTGTCTCGTGGCCGTGACTAGGTCAACATCATCTCATCGGGCTAAAACTATTTTTAGCAAGCCAAATATCACATAATAAGCCAAGCCCTCATCTACGGTTACGGCCGTCTTGGTATTTACCGTCTCAAAATAAAATTCTAATTGGAGTCTAAACTTACACGAAACGTTTATTGCGTCCAAGAGTTGGCCAGACACCGACCGCATGACCGCATGTCTTGCTCTATCTACATCTATCCCATCAACGGCGACAGGATAGCTCAACGAATCCGTAATGCTCTTGCGGCTGAGATAAGGACAGAGCCTCTGCAAATATTTGTGACGATAAGAGGTGGACTCGGATAAATGATGTTCTAAAGTTGGATTTTCAGTTTGTTGTCCCCCAAAGAAAGGCACTTTTTCAGTTCATAAAGATGATGGCAGAAATAATCATAAACGTGCGTTAAATATAGCAATAAACTTAACATTTAAAGACACAAATAAATCCGTCTTTAGTTGCTCTATTTTCCTCCTTCGAAAGGGTATCAGGTTTAAGTTTCTGCTTGTCCGGAGCAGCGTCACAAGTGCCCTACCGAGTCGTGTATTTTCTACTCAGGTTTTACTATTTTTTACTACGACTTTCAAGTACTATAAAGAGCCTTCGTCTTCGTCTTCGCTTGCTGCGCCCCTCCGCCCTGCGGCCATATGCCGGCAACTTCCGTTTGTCGTTCCGCCTGCCAGAGCGAATGTGTGCCACATTTGCCACATTCAACCTGTTGGCACTTGGCAGGGGGAAATCTGGTGGCACGAGTTGGACACGACTTCCGTTCGCCCTTTTGCACTTGTACTTGGCCTGGTCTGGCTTGGGCTGGGCCTGTCTGTGCCTTTTGCTTTATTACTCTCCTTTCTGCCTTTATGAAATATTAATTGACCTTTTCTCCACCTTCCCATTGTTCCCATTTTGCAGTGATATAAAGTTCAAAGTGCGCCCCACCGTCCACCCCAGCACGAGTGCACGTGGAACTTTTATACATGACAATTAGAAGGAGAATAACAACGACTAGCAACACCAACAGCAACAGCAACAGCAACAAAATGTCCAACTGCCAAAGTTCAGTGTTCATTGCCGTAGGCACCCTGCTGTCCATTTTGGCGGCAGTGCAGGCGGCACCCGTTTCCACCACCACACAGGCAGAGGTGAGTAAATAAAATAAAACAATTCATAAATTCAACAATTAGAAAATCTGTTTGTCTGATTTCCAACTGCTGCAGAATAATTTCCATCAAATTGTACAATTAAATCGAACGTTTTTCCAACTCGTTTACAATTTATACAACAACAAAAAAACAGCGGCATATAATTAATTTATATCCGAAATAAAAATAACAACTTGAATGAAAACAGAGAAAGGCCGCATAGGGCGCCGAAGTTCAACCACAAATTGAGCAGGAAAAAAAAAATCACGTAATGATTCATTTTTTGTGATAACAGAGCAGGACAGAGGGGCGGGGGTGGGGTGACAGTTAACTGCACGGGATACCCGCTTTGTCAAGCTCTCGTACTGTATATATTTTATATATAATTTTGCCAACTTCACTTCCGATTTGCATGACAAACGTGCCAGGCGCTCAGAGCTCAGGCGAGCGTTGATTTTGGGGTTGGCTGCATTCGGAAATTAAACTTAATTTTACACTAAACTGAACAATAATATAGGTGTACATGTACATATGTGTGTTCTTATGTGATATATGGCTCCATGTGTGACTGTGCAACAGGCTCACGCGCATCGCATGTCAACACAAATTTTTATTCCACTCACATATTGGTCTGGCTGGGGGACTGGGACTGGGACTGACTGTGGCTCTGGCTCTGGCCTTAGCCTTTGTTGCTGGTTTTCAGAAAATGCATTGCACATTGGCTAATTGCAGTCCGTTTATCGTTATCGTTATCGTTATCGTTCGTGACATTGGTCTATGGAAAACGTGGACTTGTGCACCCGCCCGCAGGGGAAACTCTCTCACGCCATTGAGAGATGACTGCCCGTCCGGCCCCTCGGCTAATCGATTCAAATGCATTTCGTTCGATTTAATGGGCAAACCCCTTTGGAGAGAGGCTCTCCCTGATAGCTGAGCAATTGATTATGATGGCATTTCCATTCTAAACTTTCCAATGAGCAAGATTTCATCTCAAAGAATTACTAGAACTTGGTTTAGTTCTGCTAGAATTCCCGCTTTGTGAATCCTCCTCCACCGCGAACAACTTGTTGTTCCCAGCTAATTATTATAAACATTTATCGCCACTTAATTGCTTGTCAGGACGGCTGCCAACCCCACCACAAATTTCCATTTACAAATTCAACAAACTGCCAAAGCAGCAAGCACGTCTGCACTTCGATCTATCTTTCTATCTAAATAACTATCTACCTGAGGCTAATCACGTTTGGTTGCCACAGACTTGCATAAATTAATGTAGAATCGAAAGGCATTAACTAAACGTGGAGAAGAAGGGGGTTAAAGGGACTGACTGCTGGCATAAAACACTTTTATAGGTGCACGGGCACCTGTACGTAAACTTCCTGATTAACCATTTATGTACACCGCTCTCCCGCTAACGATTCCCCTTCCCTTTCGACTACTCTGAAACTGTTCAGAATCGATTTGATTTCTGCACCAGCACGCATGAGCGCGTGCTTAACATTGTGTTTTAGTTTTTTATATACTTTTTTCTCAGTTTCTTCCCTCAGCTTTGTTGCCCAGTTTCTTCCCCCAGTTGAGCGCGATCTGCCTAATTGATATGTTGGGCGCGTTGCCCAGTAACTTGGCTCGCTGTCGTTGGCCAGTCGGCCCCAAAACCAGGCGACAGGCGACAATCGACTGACGTGCGGCTCCATTTGTGTCTCTGTCCCGCTCTCCCTAGCTCTCTGGCTCCCTGTTCTTTGTTCTCTTCCTCTAAGCTGTTTCTAATAAATCTCTGTGGGAATGCAAATGCACAGAGACCACCGATGGGGAAGTCGTGATTCGCTGATCTTTGTTAGCTATTAATATTCCACAAAGTGCAACAAATCATTGATTAAATCTGATCAAAGCTCTACGATTGACTCACTTTGTCTAGAGAGAGAGAGAGAGCAGCGAAATGCACTCCCCAGATCCACATACAAGTCCCACAAGTCTCGCACATAATTTGAACTGTCAAAAGGTTAATTAGCAATGAAGGAAATTGAAATGAGCTCAGGCTCGAGGCGAGCAGTCGTCAGATTCGTCATCGGTTTGGTTTGGTTTGGTTTGGTTTGGTTTGGGTTGTGGTTCTGCACTGCCACTGGGATAATTATAACTAAATCCATGGCAAGGCGCTGGTGAGTCACACCGCCAGTCGGGCAGTCAGTCAGTCAGGCTAATTCGCACTTAGCCACACTTTTCCCCACAACTTTTCACTCATTTCCGCTCGTGTACAACTAATCAATAAACTCCACCAACGGCCGACAGCAAAGTTGGTTGGAATTTATGTACTTTTTGCCCCAAGTTTGATTGATTTGCCTATGAGCAAAGTTGCGTGCGACCTTCGCGAGGTGCTGAACAGCACAAAGGATAGCCAAACACGGTGGCAGGCAGCCAGCAACCTTGCCACAACGGCAAACAAATGATAGTTTTTGCTCCGCCAACATCCTTTTTCAGACATCACACACTCAGCACACTTCTCCTCTAAGGTCGCGTCGTCTATCGCTTGGCATTTCACGCGTCTCGCCATAAACAAAGCAAAGTAACTACATACCTCTCCATAACAACCCAAACAGGAATAGGAATCCAAAAACGAATCCGATTACGAATAGGAATACGAACAGCAACAATGAAATCCTTTCTTTTTGTCTCTTGCTAGACGTTTTGCATAAAAACTCAGCTTACCTCTTTTCCTTTTCCCCTTTCTGCCTTGTGTTGTGTTGTGTTGTTTGGTTATCTTTGCATCTTGACGCTTATTTATCGCCAGGTGAATTAGCCAAGAGGCCACAAAAAAACGTGTCAGAAAAAAGAAGGTGGCAAAGGAAGCAAAATACAGAACCACCTTCGAGTGATGTGTGGAAATGTCAAACATTTTGTGGAAGGTTTCCATTACGTTGCCATCATTCACAGGCCAAGTAAATGTCATAGAGAACTGTGACCTGAACTGATACTTGTGGATATTAGAAGACATGCATGAAAACTTCATTAGTTATTCCACAAGCTAGCGGAGCTCAAATATCGACACTCCTGAAGCTGAAAGTTTCCTTTCGTCCCATTTGACTTGGAAATTCTTTCAATCAAAACCCATTTCTGCACTCACTTGTGTGCTGCAACTAATTGAAAATGTTATGCAACTTAAGGCTCGATTTAAGTCTCGGTGTTGGCCCAGTTTCTGCTTTTCTTAGTTTTTGGTTTTGGTTTTTGGTTTAAGTTTTAGTTTTGAGTTTTCTTTCTCCATTGGCTGCTCAATCTGCACGTTATAGAGACCCAAAGCCAGTTGAGTGCGGCGTCAAAGAGAAATGCCGCCCGCCAGCCAAGTGAGGCGCCTGCGCTTCGAGATGGAGTGTGGGGGAGAGGGGCGTAATGATGTAATCATTAACTAAGAAATAGTTGAGCCAGTTAAGCCTGTTTGCCTGTTGGACTGTGAATTAGAGCTGGGGGAATCAACAGTAGCTCAGGCTGTGGGAAAAAGGGAAGAAATGTAAAAGGAAAAGGAAAACCTTTACAAAAATGTCGTCGAAACTTTCGCTTTCGGCAGGGTAGCCGCAGCCCACGCAAATATTTTTGTGCCAACTAGGTCTAGGTTTATTTGCGGTGTGCTGGGGTGGCAGGAGGTGGCAGTAGATGGCAGTAGATGGCAGTAGCTGGCAGTGGAGTGAAAGTCAACGACCCGAGTGACCCACATTCGGAAACGTAAACTTAGCGAGTGCTAACTGCCCACGCACACCCCTCCACAACCCACAGATAAACAGAAGAACAGAAAGCGTGGGAGTCACCACCCGGTGGCCAGCAAGTATTTTCTACTCGAACAAGCTATAATTTGCCCATCAATTTCAAGTTGTTCCTGTACACAAACACTCGTGCACGACTATACGAGTCCGCAAACCGATTCTGTTTATAATTTATGCATGTCCTGGGTCTTCCTTGTTGCTGCCGCACACACCCATTCCCAGAGCAATATTATTCGATATGAACCGAAAGTTCATTGACTCCCCCCCCCCCCCCCCCCCCCACATTCATTACCAATTTTCCCACAAGCTTCTCCTCACTTTTGCATTTCCATGCCCATTTTCCCTGGCGAAGTCGAATTGCAAGTTGCAAAAACTTTGCGCTGTGCAAATTGTGTTAAATATTTGAAGGTTGCTGCAGCTGCTGCACAGTTGTACGAGTATTTTGTTGCTTAAGTTTGTACTTTGGAGCTTCTACTTTAGTGTAGCATACTTTACAGAGCCCACAAACACACACACACACACACACACGCGCGCAGGCAGAGACCAAGAAAACTGAGGCCCAGTTGGCCCAGTCCTTAGTTGGCAAAAGCCCCTTTGGGGTTGCAGCTCTCGTAGCTCCTACCCAGCAAGTTCAACTCTGTTGTAAGCCAAGTAAACCAGGCAAGCAGGTCAACCTACTGAACAGACAGACGGACCCAAACGGGTGAGATACGGACTTGCAACGAGTGCTGGGGCGTGGTTGGATCCCTTCTTTGTTGACATTTCGGTACAACATTGAAATGCGCTCGTTATTATCCCAAAAGAAAAACAGCACAAACCAAAACAACAAATCTGTGTCAATGTCCAATAATAAATTGAAGTGCAATTTCAACGCCCTCTGAAACGTGACCCGCAACTGCTGTTGGCCCCTTGGGTGCACTCCCCCCCGGGCAATGGTAACCTGTGTGTAATTTGCAAACCATTTGCATGGTCATGGAGCACACGAGCACAGCCCAATGATCACATGCAAAACTCAATCCGTTGTGCATGCGGATGCATTTAACTAGTTAATCGACAGATGGGAACGGGGAACGTTGAACGGAGCGGGTGGGAACGGGAACTGTATCGATGACTCCCAAAAATAGAGAGTAACATTTCCGTTCTGTTTCGTTAACTAACTTCCGTTCTGTGACGCCTTGTGACGCACATTCTGAATCCACAGAAACCTGAGAGACAGCGAGAGAGCCTAAGAACAATGTGTCACGAAATGAGTCAATTTCTGACTGACAGCTATGGGGGGAGGCATTGAGTGTCTTTTGTTTGTTGCCAATTGGAGTTATCTTATCGATGGCCGGTTAGATAGGCTGATAGTGGGGCTCTCGTTTTGAGCCTCAGAACAATGCCTTACCTCGCCTGGCCCTGCAATGTTTGCTCTATGACAAAATGTGCATCACAGTCGTCACGCAACGGACAGAATGTCGAACAGAGGTAACCGAGGTAGAGGCAGAGCTTGTTCTGTAATCAAGCGAAGCGTGCCTGCCCGGGGAGAGGTGTTCAGCATACACGAAAGTCAAGCGAATAATTATGTTAATTACATAAAGAGACATTCCTAAGGTCACTCCGGGGATGAGTCAGTCAACTGTACCCCAGCTCAAGTGCCAGTCAAAATTTACTCTGAGTTCTCACATCGATGCTCGAGTGGGAATATGACATATCAGGGGAGAGAGAGATGTCACTTGAACCCTGCATTTGTTTACCACAGAGCCAGGAAGTTCGTTTACCTTTAGGCGACTACGAGTACGAGTCAGAGACAGAGTCAGAGACAGAGTCAGAGCCCGAGTCAGAGCCGTGGACTGTTGTCAGCTGATCAGTGGATTACCCACCCAGAAGAGCTAAAGATTATTGAGCGAGTGCGCCCAGCTATGCATACTTATGCGATCAACCAAATGTTTACTTCCTCAGAATGAATATACGAGTAAATGCTTACGAGCACGAGAATAATTTAATTAACAGTCAGCTGGCATTATGCAAGATTCGGCAAGAAAAAAAAAACATTATACAATATACGAATGAGTATACACATATGTACGTAGACAGTGCGGAACATTAAGAATGTGCGCACATAAACGGAATGAAGAAGCTACCTGATCCACATGCCAAATTCAGTCAGCGGCGTAGAATTGTTTTCTCGTTTCTCAGACTCAACTTTGACGCTCCACTGTAAGCCAATTGTGCCGTTGTAATTGGTCAGACAGCATTAGCTATAAACAAATTAGACAAAACGCAATACATTATAAATTGTACATTGTATATTATATAAAGAGATAACTGTTAAGATAACCTCGCATTGTTCTCCATGGAGCGACTGCACTTCCCTGATAGGCGCTGCGCTTTTTTTTTATTTTTTTATTCTCGATTGCTCAATGTTACAATTCTCAATTAGTCAGCCGCGGCCAGAGGTTGTAATTGAAACGCTTCCTTAACTCAATGCTTGATGCTCAATGGAGATCAATTAAGAAGTTTTCACACCTCAGTCAGTCACGTCGAGACTGAGTTTCCCCCCCCCATAAACGTATTGAATAATCGTACGCGAGGCATGTCTCTGACCCCCCCCTGAGAGTCTCTCTACAAATTACAAGCAAGTGTGACAGTCATAAATTATGCAAGTCAGATAGAGCTGCGACAGTGTCGCAGGACATGCCACAAAGCCGCAGAGGGTCTAATCGGATTGGCCATAAGTCAAGACATGCCACCCCAGTTGGAGCGGCACCGCAACCCATTGATCTTCGGCTCACCCAACTCCCTCATGTCTTTATTTTGCAGATGTATCTCTCGCAGTTCGGCTATCTGCCCGCCTCAGCTCGCAATCCTGCCAACAGTGGACTCCAGGACAAGTCAACGTGGCTGAATGCCATACAGGAGTTTCAGAACTTTGCCGGCCTCAACATTACCGGCGAGCTGGATGATGAGACCCTCAAGTTGATGTCCCTGCCCCGTTGCGGAGTGAGGGATCGTGTGGGCACCGGCGACAGTCGCTCGAAGCGTTATGCGCTGCAGGGCAGTCGCTGGCGGGTCAAGAACCTCACCTACAAGGTGTCCAAGTACCCCAAGCGATTGAAGCGCGTGGACGTCGATGCTGAGATTGGACGCGCCTTTGCCGTGTGGTCCGAGGACACCGATCTAACCTTTACGAAGAAGACCACCGGCCCCGTGCACATCGAAATCAAGTGAGTGTTTGCCACAAAATATTGCACATTTCGAAGCAGTTACTCAATTACAAATCTGCTATAGGTTCGTGGAGAGCGAGCATGGCGATGGCGATGCCTTCGATGGACAGGGCGGGACCTTGGCGCACGCCTTCTTCCCCGTTTTCGGCGGAGACGCGCACTTCGACGACGCCGAGCTGTGGACCATTGGCTCGCCACGCGGCACCAATCTGTTCCAGGTGGCAGCCCATGAGTTTGGCCACTCCCTCGGCCTGTCGCACTCCGACCAGAGCTCGGCTCTGATGGCGCCCTTCTATCGCGGCTTTGAGCCTGTCTTCAGGCTGGACGATGACGACAAGGCGGCCATCCAGTCGCTGTATGGCAAGAAGACCAGCCAGCCGAAGCCCTCGAATGCCTATCCAGTGACCAGCACGCTGCGTCCCTCGTACACACCACCGAAGGTGCCGCTGGACGACAGCATCTGCAAGGACTCCAAGATCGATACGCTCTTCAATTCGGCACAGGGCGAGACGTACGCCTTCAAGGGCGACAAGTTCTACAAGCTGACCACGGACTCCGTGGAGGAGGGCTATCCACAGCTCATCTCGAAGGGCTGGCCGGGACTGCCGGGCAACATCGATGCGGCGTTCACGTACAAGAACGGAAAGACGTACTTCTTCAAGGGCACCCAGTACTGGCGCTTCCAGGGACGACAGATGGATGGTGTTTACCCCAAGGAGATCAGCGAGGGATTCACCGGGATACCCGACCATCTGGACGCGGCCATGGTCTGGGGAGGCAATGGCAAGATCTACTTCTTCAAGGGCAGCAAGTTCTGGCGCTTCGATCCCGCCAAGCGGCCGCCCGTCAAGGCCAGCTATCCCAAGCCCATTTCCAACTGGGAGGGTGTGCCCAACAATCTGGATGCGGCGCTCAAGTACACCAATGGCTACACGTACTTCTTCAAGGGCGACAAGTACTATCGATTCCACGATGCTCGCTTTGCGGTAAGCCAAATCCATTCAATCCACCAATGGATCGAAACTTATTAGGTGATTTCCTTTTAGGTGGACACTGCCACGCCTGCCTTCCCCAGACCGACAGCACACTGGTGGTTCGGCTGCAAGAATACGCCCTCGTCCACAGGTAATATTGTCGAGGGTTCGGACTCTGAGTACGAGCAGCACTCGATGGTATCGCATGCCGATGATGGTAATAGTGATTTTGATTTGGACGCAGGTGAGTGGGACCGACGTGGCGGTAGTTTTGTTTGAGCCTTGATCCTTGAGCCTTGAGCCTTGAGCCTTGGGCACCCAAAAATCGATGCAGAAAACTCTGTAAAGTCAAAAAGATCTCATAGCAATCTTGTATGAGTTGTTACTTACTTAGCGTGAAGCAAATTAAGGAGTCAAGAAACGATTACAATAATGTAAAAGAAAGAACGAAAGAATGATCGAATTACGTTTATAGATCCTATCTATATGGTATGTTTAATTAAGTGTTCTAGTATCCTATGTATCCTATGTAGTGAAATTCTATTACTCAAACTGAATGTGTTTGTCTTTTGTTACCTATGGAAGAAATACATTTTAATTCTTATTGAAAAACAAACAACAAAGAAACCAAAAAACTAATTGTGTATGTCCAATGTCTCTATCTCTCTCTCTCTCTCTCTCTCCCTGTTTACATATACATTCTGTATGTATATTTTTGTACATTTAATTATTATTTTTCTCTTATTTTTTGTGGTGTTTTACTTTAGTTTTGTTTCTGTGTTCTCAGGCTGCGCTCAGCTCGGGCCACAAGACTCTTTCCTCTAAACATTTCTACATTTTCTAACCCACTCAAGACTAACCTTAACTTTAACTCTCTCATTATGTTTGATTTTATTCCACTTGGTAGTCGGTTTTTATTATTTTAATGTACACCAAAACTAACACTGAAAACTGTTTATTAATTTTGATTTTTGGATGTAATTTTTCCATTGACAAAACCTAACCAACGCTTGTCTGTCTTCTTTGGGTGTTTGGAACCGAACTCAATTAGCATACCATGTACAAAGTAAAGTCTAAAGACTAAGGAACAAATATTAATGAAAAAGGCGGGGAAATAATCCAATATCTTGCTTACAGTTTAAAGAACCCAAAAAAAGAGATTATTCAATGATATAAACAAAGAATAAACAGCTACAGATACAACAACAAACTACTGGTCAGTCGGTCTCACTAACCGGGATCTGGGATCCCCCAGATCAAAAGCAAAACCATCTTTCTAGCTTATAAACCGCAACATTCAACGCCTCGCCAATGATCCCAGCATGAGCACCATACTATATATAACTAACTTGATTAATCCATAGAATCTACATTTATAGCAACTACTTATGGTTACTAACACACTCCTAATACTCAAACACTTTTACAACACTATTTGGTAAACACCACAATGAACCCCCTCAAAAACCAAACCAAACCGAACCACCTCTCCCCCTATCTATGGTCTAAGCGTATGTAGTTCTATAGCACTAAGTATTTATCTAGATATGTTTATAATAATATTATTTTTCCACTCTGTCCCAGACTAAAATAACCTAATTTGTACCCTGTAGTTTATGGTATTTTCCAACACTTTTTGCGTACAACGAAAAGAGTGCAACTGTTTCCTTGTTTTGGCAAAACCCCCATCGCACCGGCACAAAATTCAAATGGCTATGGCTTGGTTGAACCACCCAAACAACAAAAAACCCTCCCCCCCTACCACCTGTGATCAAATTACACACCACCCGAACACTCACTCACCTTATAAATCTCCAGCCCTGCTACCTGTAATTGCATGAATATTATTCCCACTACCAGACTAATCTAGAGCAAAGAAAACAAAAGATTTACACCTGCATGAGACAAAGGCGAGCCACGTTAACCGTTATTTGGTGTGACCCACAAAATGCTACATGCACACACACACACACAAACTCACACACTTAACACTGCATGCACGTGCCTGGGCCATAACCGTTGAATTTGCATTCGAAAAAAAAGAAGCGCCGAAATTTGTCACTGTCAATGTTCTGAATGTATGTCTGTATGCACATATATACATATGTATACATATTTCTTGCAGGCTTTAAGAGACGCGGATATAAAAACAAGAACCATTAACCACCACCACCAACAACAACAACAACAACACCAACAGCACACAGAAACAACGAAAGCAACAACTGAACGAACCATAAAACGAACTCCAACTCCGAACCACACAACACACACACACATACACTCCCACACAGGGGCACATCACTTCAGAAGAATTCAAAGTGAATGTGCCGCCGTCACTCTCTTCTCACTGCTTCTGATTCTCTCTCTTGCTCTTCTCACTGCTGTTTCTTACTTTTTTTGTGTACTCTTTTTGTGTGTAGTTGTGTACTCGCCATGCTGCTGCTGCTCCTCTCTTCCTTTTACTGTCTACTGTCTCTCTCTCTCTCTCTCTTTCCTTACTGTACATTCATGCGTAGTATTTTGCCGTTGATCGATTGCTTGTTTGCCCCTCGTCATCGTTATCGCCACAAACTGTCGCGTAGTTGTATGAGCATCTTCCTTCCTCCCAACCTCCCTTCCACCACATGCCACGCCCACAGGGCACACGCTTCAATTATGATTGTATATATTTTGTTGCTGAATTGTTAATTTATTATTTACAAATTTCATTTCATTATTTTTTGGAACAACCCAAAAAAAAAACACTTTTAATTGCTTGCGGTTCCTATAACGAGTAGTGCCGCAAGTAACGAATCAGGGCGTGCTGCCCGGCTGGATGTGGAGCCTCACGAACAGGTTCTTCTAGGGGAATGATTCTCCTCGTGCTCAGCCATCTGCTCTGTCCAGTCCATCGTCAATGTGTGTGTGTAGCCTGTCCCAGCATTAGGCTGCTGTACAGCATTTGTACATTTGTATCCATCGCTTGAGTGATCTCTGTCTGAATAAAACCGAACAAACAAACAAACAAACAAATATATATAAAAAGAAAGACACATATAAAACATGCCACGCCCAAGACCTGCGCCGCTGCCGAATCGCCAAGCCAATCCAAGCCAAATAAATGAAACGAAACGAAACGAAACTCAATTACGTTTGCGCACATAGTGAAGAGTATGTTGTATCAATTATTATTATTTATTTCTATCCTCCCCCATTAAGTTTACTTAAGTTATTCAACTCTTGAACTTCTCTCCCAAACCAAACAAAAAACACCCAATCCAAAAATACCTTTAGCTTAGTTGTAAGTCCACTTGTGCACCTAAGTACCTCAAGCTTTAGCCTTTTATATACTTAACTAACTTGATTTTTTGTGTTAATTATCCCCGTTTCACATAGCAGTTGGCGATCATCAGAGCAACGACGAGCCCATCGAACCGGAAGTGGCCGAGAGGACGGGTTCCGGTGCCATGTCCATGTCGCAGCTGACAGGCAGCTCGGCGGTCAGCACTGTGATCTCCACCATTCTGTTGTGCTTCTTCTCCAAACTGATTGTTAGCTAAAAGAGAGCCAGGCAGAGCAGGCAGCCAGAGACATACATACATGCTTAGGAACAAAACTGAACTCAACTGAAAGCCGAAACAACTCGAGTAAAATTTCTAAAATTTTACCGCACGTTGCTTGAAATTCATATGCGCAACATCATATCATATCGAATACAGTGAGAGGAAAAGCTTAAAAATACCCCCAAGCAACACACACAAATTTCAAATCAAACAGAAGCGATCCGATCCGATGCGATGCGATCAGCATGTGAAGCAGGTGCCTTATCAAATATATCTTTGTTGTTGTGTAAATAAAATCAGCCTTAAATATATAATACAAATAGTTGATAACATTCCGCATTCGAAACGACAAAGCAAAGCAAAGCAAACCAAACCAAAACCAATCCAATCAGGAGTCATGTCATAGCAGAAATTCTTATTGTCTAGCGTCTACCCCGTTTTTGGTAATGACAAATTGCGATATTAAATTTAACGAGCCATATGCCAGGAACTAGATAGAATGAAAATCAAACGGAAAAACAATAAATGAACAATTCGACGAAGCCCTATGTTAAATGTAATTTATGTAGTTTAGATATAATTGTTAATGTCTGCACGTGGAACACGGAATACCAAGAGGTTATAAAAGTTCTTAAAGCTGTGTAAGCAAACGGTCGTCGTCAATGTTTTAAGTTGTAAGTTTTTGATTGAACAAAAAGTGAATAGACTTGACTTGACCCGTCGTATCATCATCGAGTACATTTGAATATTATATAAGCGATATTTAAGGCAGTCCGATAAGCGATATTTGTTCGGGTTTAATATTTAAAACCGAAATATTATTTAATTTACGTATTATTATGTGTAATAATTTTGATGTGTAATAATTTTATTTTCTATACTATAAATGTACGCTGGAAACGAAAGAGTCAAAAGTGAAAAGCAAAGACGAAGAAGAGAAGAACAAATAAAACAAAACCTAATAATAATAATATACAGCAGACTTCTTGTTGTTATTTACATAGTCGACATTGCAGCACAACCAACCCCAACATGCAACCATTACGGATCGATGTCGGTTTCCAGCTGAGCGTACAGCTCCTCCAGTCGTGCATCCTTTTCCGGTGAGGCTTGGGTGGCCTTTGATGCCTTGGTCTTGTCTTCTGTATGTTTTGGGCTTTTGGCGAGACCTGAAAACAGCCGGCCAAGAAAAAATGATTCTAAGTAGTACAGGAGGAATGACATGACAATGTTAGGGTCAAGGATTCGCTTCAATTTACTTTGGGCCTTTTTAAGATCATTATCCTGGCGCAGTTTGTCCGTGGGCAGCGTCGTGGGGGGCTCTGTGGTGACCTCTGGCAGACCCAAATAGGCGCACTCCGCTTTGATGTCTTGCATGAGGTGGACGGGCGTCGGAATCCTAACATGCGTGCACAATTCCGGATACGAGTTTGGCTCCAGTTTGGGCGTCATATCTGCTCGAAATCGTTACACAAAAAGGCATTATTTCCCGATTGCAATGCAACAGATTGGTGTGCACTGCTACGCACCTAAAATTTCTTGTTTGGCCTGCAGGGTCTTTATGATGGCTCCATACTCGGCCATTTGTAGCTTCAGTTTTTGAATCTCCAGCTCCTGCTCACTCATTTTACTCTTGCGTTTGCCCTTCTCCTTGGTGGCACCATTCGAATCCGAGCAGTTTCCATCGCTATCGCTGATTGTGATGGACTCAAGCGGTGGCGGCGAGATAACCTTGCAGTCCACATCCGCCGCATCGTCATCGTCGGTGGCCAATGTGTTGATTGTCACATTCGATGTGGTGCGCGGCAATTTGAGCAGGACGGGACGCTTTTTTAGACGCCGAAAGCGAACGGTTAGGGTGCGGTTGTGTAGAGGAGTGCCCGACAGTTCCTTGAACGCCTCTCTGGCCAGTTCGGTGGAAGCGTAGCGGACAAAAGCGTATCGTGCACGCTTCTCCCTCCTGAGGACGCCAATATCCACCTTCGAGGACTTGGCAAAGAAACCCTTGATGGCCGATGTGGTCATGCTGAATGGTATATTGGACACGTACAGGCACCACGGGTCAATCGATGTAGCCTCCTCCTCTTCGGAAAAGGCTTTGCGCTCTGCCACCAGAAAGCCGTTGCTGAATCGCACCTTGTTGATAGCGCTTATTGTCGTGTCCACATCCGCTCCTGCCTTCAGGTGAGCCAAGCAGTAGCGCGGCTCCAAGTTGCTGGGCAAACCCACATCTCTGATTGCCGGGGATAGTCCAGTCACCATGGATGTCGTTATTTCCTGATCAGGAAAGCGAATAATCAGCACAACGGCGGCAGCATCTTCACTGGACTTGGAGACGAACTCGCGCTCCAGCTCCAAGCACTTTAGCGAGTCCTCTTTACGTATTTTAGCCATCTCCCGACGCGACAGTCTGTTTCCGTGGATATCTAACCCAAAAAATAAACTTTCATTACACGCAAAGGAGAATTCGGACAAGAGTGCCTGTTACCCTTCTTGTATAGAGAATTCCTATCGAATTCCGGGAGCGAGACTGTCTCGCAGTCAGAATTGATGGAATCTGCTAGCCACGAGCCGGGCTGAGCTCGAATGGCGGCTGAGGAAATGTCGGACATGCATGCCGGCGAATTCGGTCCAAGGTGTAAGGGATTCCCATCGCCCGCCGGTTTCTCGTTGCCGTTTTCCTGGTGGTGGTGCTTCCTAGGTCGTTTGTGGTCTGCTCCGATGTCCGGCATCGGCGGGGAGCGTTTCAAATCCATAGGTTATAGAAAACTGAAATTTTGTCTATTTTGATTTTTGTTATTTTTGCTCAGCTGTACTTCAGAGTTGTCAGGCTTACGAATCTGATTCAGTTTTTACTTTGACTACCAGTGCTGACAGAGTTTTACATCAATACAAGATAGATTTGAAAAAAGCCATTCCTTAATTTTCTTAAGTTTGAACCATAATTGTAAGATTGTCTACAATCTAGTATAAGAAAGTTCTGAAAACCTGCTAATCTTATGAACAATCGATATATTATTCGAATAAAAATATATTTATAGGGCTAAGAATCGTAAATTGCTGATAGTTTGAGAAAGAAAAGCATAATCTAATAATATGATTATCGTTGGTATGTTTTTAAGGTAAATTTTTAAAATATGATGGTATATTTCTGAGGGTCAGAGGGTAGATTCTATCGATAACTCCGACGTCAAGAACAGCTGTTTGAGCGTAAAAATGTTAAAACTATTACGAGCCTCGAAACTTATTAATTCAGGGCCCAACACCGGCGCCGGTCTCCGCAGAAGCCTCCAGTAAGTAATTGGAAGAATGCATCTTTCGTAAATTTTTATTAAAACGGCACGATTTTATTCAGGACAAGCACCCTGCGATGCAAGTGGCGAACTGCGGCGCAGACCCCCGATGTGGAGCGAAAACTTCTGTTTGATGATCAGCTGCCGGAAAGATATAGATTAGTGTACCGTGCTCCCCTAGAAGCCTATGTGAGCTGGACCAAAAACGTGTCCACGGCGACGGTGTCGATCCTGGGCCTGGTGGCCGCCTATCACTTTAACACCAGCATGAACCTGGAGAGCATAACCCAAAAAATCAACATATCCATGCTGGTCTCCCACGAAACAGATTTTTATTACTTCTTGGCAGGATTTGCGCTCATTAACCTGGCCATACGCACATTTGTGGCCAAGTATCCCCTCAGGATTTATAAGAGTGCCGATAAGTAAGTTTTGCAAGCGGAATATCTCTGTCTCCATGGCTAAATCCCGTCTCCGACAACTTTCAGATATGTGGCTGTGTATGGATCCCAGCTTCCGTTTGGCACTGTGAAGCACTATTTCGATAGGGGACAAATTTCAGAGTACAGGAACGTGCTGAATCCTTGGAGCCACATCATGTACAGGCTGGGCAACCGCTCGTCCATGCTGCTGGTCGATTACTTTAAGACTCCGTCCGAGTTTCACCAGCTCTTTGAGGAAAAGTGAAAATGTGTAGCTATGTTTTTGAGTTATAAACTGAATATATTTTATATACATAGGTACCATGTATGTACATGACGATCCTTAGATACGATTTCCTTGGTGCTTGTGTGGCGCCACCTGTAGGTCCTGGACATTAGTGTGGCGCTACCTGGCGAGCGGTAGCGGAGTATATTCTTCTTTCTATATGTAGGTAAATATATGTAAATAGTATATAATAATATTTTTACATTCTACATGGCATCCACTACATATCTACGACATTTTCGATATAGAATTTCAAAATACATGATGGAATGAAATGTAATAGGAAGTAAATCTTAAGATCTTCAAGACAATGTCTGTCTGGGCACTGTTGCGCAATCTTCGAATCCCTATCCCTGAGTTGATAAATCTTTCGAAGTAATTTTGAATTACAGATTGTTCGTAATGTTCTGAGCAGAGAAAGTTTGTGTTGGTGTTTTTCGTGCTGCCCTGTGTGTCTGTGCGGTGTTTTAACTTGCCACTGTCCATCGAATTGGCACACACACGCGCCAGCACTCTTCTTGCTCTCTGGCTCCATTCCCGCCAAGTACTTTGAAATAAATACTCAAAAATAAATACTTTTAATACTTTTTTCCGACTTTTTACGCGTTTTAAACTCTTAGCCAATCAACATTTCGAAAGTTAGGCAGTGCTGTAAAACAACCTTAAAAGTGCCGCCAATGTTAAATCTAATTAATCTGAGTCCATATGGTTCACTTTGCTCTGGCCATGAACAAAAGTGAGAGATTCCTCTACGCCCCTCTAATATTATTTTAGCAAGGTTTTTTCGAGTTGCTGTCGAAATTTAATAAGCCATGGTAACATGGTACATGGTACGCCATTCAGTACTGCTTGCATGTTTGAATGAAAATCTTCCCCATAACTTTGTTTTATGTGGCTGTAAATGTGGTTGGTGAGGGTGGAGAATGGAGTATGTGGTATGTGGGCACAATGACAGCGCCCTATAAAATATTAAATGAGAAAGAGGCGAGTGCGGATGTGATGTAGTAATTTCATATTGCTGAATCCATGTAATGGGATAAGTCTCTACATTGCGGATGTAAATACATCAATACATATATGTACATATTAATATGTTTGTATGTACTTGCATGTACTTTCAATGTTACATCTCTCTGTAACGGCGATAACCAAGAGGCAGGCTGTGACTGTAACGATGGGAAAACCGAAAAAGCTCCTTGATGGCCAACAGCAACCCCCAGACGCCAGCCCCAATTCCCATTCCACACCACCGCCCCACCATTTGGCGCATGTGCTAGATTCCTTCCGCAGCTGCTGCTGCCCCTGCCGCTCCAATGTTTCCTCTTTTATCGATTGACCCAATTCGAGTGTACATACATACATATGTAGATACATATCTATGTACATAGTGGGCCTGTTTTTTATCTTCCGCCAGTTTCTGGCCTGCGCCATTATCTGGGCTGCGTATAATGTTTATCTGCCCCCGCACAGTTCCAGTGCCTTGTTTTTCTTGTCCTTACAACGTCCTTTCCAAAACGGGAACGAAACGGCAATGCCTCGCACTTCTTGAAACTATTTTAATTTATCATCTCTTCCCCCCTCCTAGACACCCTTCCACCGACACATACGAAGATAAACAAGAAGAACGCCCCATAACACGGTTTGGCCTAGAAACGAAAGATAGGCGAAAGAAATCATGGAGAACATGCATACATATATATCACACACAAACATATGTACATAGCTCCGATGTAAGCTTTTTTTCGATCAACGAAGAGCTGGAATGATTATGCTGCCTAAGCATAAAACGTCTACATATATACATATGTACATATTTATCTACATACATTCATACATATATAGTTACATATGTACATACATAGGCATGTTTGAAAAGACACAGAGCTTTACCGATTTGTGTGCATACATACATACACAGGTATTCATGTGCACACGACACGTGTGACTACTTTCCCCACTACTGTACCACTGCGACAACTACAACTGAACAATTTAACAGCTGTGGAACAACCAACTTTGATCAGCGTTATTAATTCAAAATGTGTACATTGGGCAAACGAACAATTAAAATATCATGTACATATATGTATGTTGTTATGTCTGTATGTATGTACATTTGTCCATATGCATACATACAACCATATGTTTCGCTTTTACAGGGAAAAAAGTACATAAGCTGCAAGAGCTTTTACAGCTTATCGAAACTTGAACACGAACACAGGCATATATATGTATGTACATACATATGTATGTATATTGTGTGTAGCGTGCCGCTGGGGGGAAGCAACAAATAAACTAGTTTGTAGCTTGCGTTGCTCTGTCGCTTTGTCGCCAGTTGCCAGCGACCTATTTACTAGCTACATACGCAGGTACACACAGCAGATGCATACATACGCAAGTACATCTGTATCCACTAGCAGCCAGTAGAACAAATAATACTTATTGGAATGCAGCATGGAACAATGCAAAAAATGTGAAAATGAATAGCCCCACCGAAAGGCAATTACCATGGAGTCTCCGGGCTGATAACACTGCCTGATATCTGGTGATGGTGGGGGCTTTTGCGATAGTTTCGTTTGCTCTGTGTCGCTGCGACACTGATAAAGTCAATTAGCACTGAACATGAAACGAGCAAACCTAGAACCACAAAAAAGGCAAAGAGAAGAAAAGCGAGAAATTTAATTAATTAGTTTCAAGTGAAACGCCCCTAAACACTCCCACCCAGACAGCCAGAGGCCACATCATCATGATGAGTGGATTTAATTGACGAAAACTACAACCGGGAAAGTAGTGTATGTAGTTGTGGCCGCGTTTTAGAGCGAGTCAGCAAATTGCTCGACGGTTGTTAACACGGCCGTTGGCTATTTTTACTTGCTGATGTAATCACCTTTTCTCTCGCCCATCACCGTGGTCGCGCAGAGTTGCATCTATCCAAAGGTTCACCCAAAAAGCAAAGGCAGACGACTGCTACTCGCGAAGGTCCAAAATCAGTTTTGATTTATTTTCGTCAGTCAACGGGGATCGGGTCGACCCACAAATACTCTACATAGTTAAGAGAGCATACAGAAGAGAAAGCAGGCATACATATACACAGGAATAATTATGTACAAGGAAAGCTCTTTTGGGCGGTCACGTACAAAACATGATGAACACATCCCATCACTTGGCTAAACTTGATCTAGTAGTGTCCGCTCAAGAGAGCCCTCACTGTATCACACACGAGATACATTTAGCTTAGAAATAATCAACTTAGAGCGGAATATGGGGCTGTCAATCTGATCTTTCGGGACTGAAGGCAGTGTCGGCCGTAAAGTTCTCGCCCTTCGGACCGAGATCAGTAGCGTAAACGTGGGCCGGCGGCTTGAGCAGATCCTCGCGCCTTCGTTTCAGTTCCTGACGCGAAGAGTTGACTCTCTTGTTGCGTTTCATGTTGGTGAAACGCACATAGATCTTGCCACGGCGTTCGGTTCGGTAATAGTGCAGCTGCTCCTTGGGGAAGAGTTGCAGGATCTCGCGCTCCAGAAGGTGGCTACGTTGCAGCGTCAGGTGCAGCTGGTTGTCCTCATAGTAGCTGCAGATCAGCTGGATTAGCAGCAGCCGTTGTACTGCATCTAGAGCCTCCTGCTGGCCCAGGCGTTCGAGCAGCGACTGGCTTTTCATTCCGCTAGCCTGCAGGATGCCCAGTACAGTAACCACATGATCCTCGCCCTGCACTTGGTCGCCGCTGTCCTCCTCCTTCACGTTCGTGACAAGCGTCGAACTCAGGATCTCGCTGGGCTCCAACTGGGACTGCATGGGCATGTGGAAGGTCGCTTGTACTGCCTCGCTGGGATCGGTAAGTGAGACGAGTGGCTCGGACGGCAGTGTCTTGGCCAGATCATCGGACTTTCCACTGTCCCCGACGCTGTCCGACTGCCCGCCTATCTGGGGTTGGCAGATAATGGACGGTGCTGCCGACTCCGCGCAACGACAACCCTGGCAATGCGTCTGACTCTGTCCCTGAAGACCCTGGAGCGGAACGTTTAGCCAGCGCCGCCAGCGCTCCAGGTGATGCTCGAAGCGTATGCGGGTCCCGAACCGAAAGTTGCTCAGAAGCTCAGCCAGGTGATGACGTTTAATCATCTGCAGTTCGTCCACGTTGATGGCTTCATCTGTGAATGTTAGAGAGAGGCGGCAAATGCCATTACAGTTAAACACGCTCTTGTGCTCTCCACGTCTGTTGCAGTTTCTCTTAGTGCTCTCTTGGCTTGTCACCTTGCAAGTGTGGAAGGAGATCGGCAACATCCCATGATTGCAGCAGCTCGCGCAGCTCCTCGTATTCTTGCTCCTTGGCCATTTTCAACTGTGTTGCTGTGGGTGTGTGTGTGGAGAATGTTACTGTCTGCCTTTGCCCTGCGCAAGGAATGTACGGATGTAGATTCATACGGGCTACAGCCGGGCGTACATCCTTTCGTCACGAATGAGAGCGCAAGAATGAATTTTGCAACAGGCGCGTCTGTGTCTGTACCTCTACCTCTCCACCTTGTGCCGGGCCATAGAGCAAACACTCGCACACACACGCATATTCTCGTTCGTCGCTCACACACGTTTGTATTCTGTGTGCATGTTTATGTACTGTATGTACAGTCAGTTTCATCGTTTCGTTGTTTTCGCGTTTTATTCTTCATCGTTTGTTTCGTCGTTTCGTAGTCGCTCGTCAGCTGCTGCGCTGCTTGCCAAGCAACTCAACTCAACGAATGCCATACGTACCTATGTATGTATGTATGAATGTATTTATGTAAATGTTTGCACAGTATGTATTCGTAATGTTGTTGTGGCCGTTGTTGCATGCCATATACGTACATATGTGTATAGATATGTACATACAAAAGTATGCATACATAGACTTGTTGTTTATTGATAAATATTCGCACTAACTAAGCGGGGCGGACTTGGCATCAATAACCCAGACAACGTCGATCGCTTTGTACTCTACATTCTGATAGTTAGGCAAACTTCATTGACTTTTAATTATTATTCTAAGTACAGTAGTAAGCAGTACTAAGCTTTTTGCATCCGTTGGAAGTCTACAGTGAAGTTGACATTTCTCTCTTTTTGGTTTGTTTGGTTTCTCTTGTCGTGCCTCTCATTTTTGATCAGGCTGCACCGAACAATGCGAGAGGTTCATGTGCAGCCTGATCAAAAATGTAACCTCAAGACGTCATCAACATCCATGGGATGCGTTGTCATCATCATCTTCTGCCGTCGTCGTGGCTCGTAAGTAGCCACCAACGCTAGGGTTCAATGGACTCCGCTTTTGTAAATGTTTTCCTTTCTCCGCTCCCTCATTCTCTACATCCCTCTTTCTTTCTTGTTCTCTTTTTGTTTACTTGTCGCTGTCTTATTTCATTTTCTCTTTCTCTCTGTCTCTTTTTTGGGCTACGACTTTCCGGTGTGGAAGTTTCTTTCGGTTTCCTTTCAAGAGGGACGGGACTGCAACTTGTTTAGCTCGAAATGCCTTCATTAACGCACACACACACACACACTCGCAACCCAACACTTAGTATCAGAGAAGGGGAAGAGGAGAATCTCTCAGCCAAATGGAAATTCCATGTAATGGCGCGGATATGGATATAGCAAATGGAGTAGGGAAAATGCTCAGAAAGCGACCTCCTACTTGTCCCACATCCCTCCACAGAGTTTCGGTTTACAGTTTTCGCAATCCCTACCTGGACATGACGCCCAGCACATTTCCCAAACCCCATGAGGAACTCACTGATGTGAAAACCCAATACCCTAGCCACAAATCGAAATCCAAATTCGTAACTCAAGCAGACCTTCTAATTATCGTCAGGTATTTGGTTTTCAATTAAGCGCAAATTGTGTTCCGTTGCCAGGAGGAAGAATACACCAATTAAAATAAGATTAAAATATGATAAGCAAAAATGCATTGATTACACTCGAAAAGGAATCCCCTTGGGAGGATATCGTTCTTTAAAATGTGGATTCTAAAAATTAATTTATGCATGTGTATGTGACTTTATGCACATGTATGTATGTATTTATGTATGTTCGTTTGATCCGACCTTGACCCTTATATGTACATAAATGTACATACATACATACATAAGTACAAATTTATGTTTTTTCTATGTTTCCCACCAATATCACTATAATGGGTCTCCGCGCTATGCAACGTATTGATTACCCCTTATCCCTAATCCAACATTCTTAACGGGAACGATCAAGTAACTTTTTGACCCATTTGAAACATTTTCGCACCGTCTAGTTCCTGACAAGACACATGCTAACCGGTTAAGATTTCCATTGGCAATTGCATTCTCGAGAGAAACCGAATGTGAGAATCAGCAAACGGAACCGTTGCAACAACACCCAACTCAAGGCAAAGTTATCATTCTAATAAAAAATTCCTTCAACTCTCAGGTAAGAAAATAAATTAAGGAAACAATGAAACTTTCCCCCTCGTAGTCAGGACGAAAAGGTGGCACAAAAGCAACAGCAAAAACATGCGCAGTATAACAATGTGCGCAGTGGTTCGGGTCCGACATCCAGACATGGGTTGAGGCGGCGGGAAAAAGCCCATTTAAAGAGGGTTGCTTGTTCAGAGGGGCGCACATGCATTGGCATTTGTTTGACAAAAACTCAGCTCGGTTCCAGTAAACGACTGATAAAGGCAGCCAGACCAGACCAGGCCATGCCTTCCAATCAATTCCATTGCGGAAGTAGCAGCGAAAATTCTCTGAGCTGGAAGTGACTGCTGCTTCTTCTCGCTCTCCTTCTTATCAACTCTGCGCAGTCAGCAGCAGCAGCAGCTGGCTGGCTTTCCTGCGCACTTCTCCCACCCATGCCACAACCCAACGACTAGGAGTTGAAACGCAGTTTCAAGAGACATCAGAGGATCTCTCCCTCCGTTTGTATCTCCCCCGTCCCAACCCATCTCTTTAACGATGCTGCAGACATTCTGGGGACTAAACGCTTACGGCATTGCTTCGCTGACGTCGAAGCTGTTTGACCTACACAGGCACACCCCCAACCCCCCTGTGCATGACATAGTATATGAAAAAGCTTAAATACAAAGTTTTATATACAGTTTTATGAGCAGGCAGGGCCGTGACTGTGTGTCTGTATGTTTCAACGTGTACATAGAAGCAATTTTCGATTCAACTGCGCCAGGGCAGAACAGCAGCAGAGCCAGCAGAGACAGAAACAAAAACCGAAGCGGAGTCAATTCGCCAATCTTTATTCGCTGTTCGCTGGCAATAGACGCGCGTAAGTTTCTGCACCTAATTCCAATACTTTCCATATGTCTCAGTGTTACTTTGAGAGGGAAAGAGCGCGCGATAGATACTATTTCTTATCTACAAAATCGTAATCGACAGTTTGCTGGAGATTCTGGAATAAGTAAGTAACGTAATGTGATGGCAAAAGGTGACAGCTCTGTGAATGTGTAAAGTCCACTTTGGAGCGCTGCCAGATGTTGCCTCTGATCGGGCCCATTAAATGTTAATGGCCATGCGAAAGCTAAGTAATTGTATAAAATTAAGCAACAAAAGCTTGACTCTATCGCTAAGAAGCGATCTATTCCCATCGAACTCTATACAGAGGCTCTCTAATTAGTCATCTGAGTGGGTTATTCAAGGTTTTCCAGTTCTTCTCAGATGTATTGGAATTTAAAGTTCAAAAGCTCAACTTGCAAGGCGGATCAAAAGTGATTTCATTTCAAGGCGTCAAACGTATTTCGGATTAGAGTGGAACCAGAAACTAAACAATTAGGGTGGAACTCTAGAGTAGATACTTACTACATGTTTTAGAAATTTAAATGGAAGATATTCCCTTCCCTTCCTCAGAATTTCTTTCAAAGATTTCAAAAGCATATTGCAGCCATGGGAAAGTTGTCAGTCCATTTGTGCGTGTAGATTGTAATTGAAAGATTGTATGGTCAAGAGCCTCACAGATGGGGAAGTACCTACAGATTCGTGCCTGGAGCGCATTAACTTTTAACCCAAAAAAGAGAATACATTTTTTGTTTCTGTTTTGTGGTAAACGTAAACAGAAAAGAGCAAAAGACGAAAATTAAATGGAATCACATGCAACACACGTTCCATACGAAAGAAAGAGACAGACATAGCCACAGAGAAAGAGATCAAAGCAAAGAAACGAGGAGTGTAGGAAGCTCTGGTCAGCTCAGTTGTGTGTTTGTGTGATGGCTGCGTCTCTCTTTTTAGCTTTCGATCGTGTTCGTGTGGATATTTATGCCCAAGCATAAAACATAAAACGCAATAAAAGAAACAGCAGAAAGCAACAAAGTAGCAGCAAGAGCAGCTGTGGCGTCATAGCCAAAAATTTTTTTCACTTTCGAACTGGTTTGGTTTTCTTTTGATGTCGTCATCAGCAAAAAGCAAACACAAAATTAGTCACTTTATGCAATTTCAGCCCCCATCTTCCCCCTGCCCCCTCACAGCGTTGCTCGGCAACAAAAAAAAATAAGCAAAAAGCAGGCAGCCATGGCGAATTTATATAAGGTGAGGCAAATTTATTTGGAAACATATAAGAAGCCTAAGGCCTCACCCTACAAATATACAACTTGGCTGCTGCTGCAGCTTCGCGTGCCAAGTGGAACTGCAGCAAGAAAGGGAGAATGTGATCAATGAAGTGCAGGGGGGGGGGGGGGGAGGATTAGAGTGGGAGAAGAGCAGAGAGAGAGCGAGAGAGTTGAAGATTCCCGCGCGCAATTGCGCCAATAACCCAGTTTTCTGTTTCTAGTTGGCACTCGTCGAAGCATAACAAAAATGCTGTCGTTGTAGTTGTAGTTGTCTGTTGCTTGGAAAAAGAAGGAGAACAAGAACCAGAGGAAGTGCAGCGGCTGTTTGTAAATACATATACATAAGTATCTATAAAAGACTTTATGTTTGTGTGTGTGTATAACAAGTTTTCTAGTTGTGCAAAGTGATGACACACTTTATCACAGAAGTACATATGTACATATGTTATGAACATGCATACATATGCAAAGAAAAGTGCCTTGCAACAAAAAATAATCAGATACTTTCTTTAGCCAACACATCATACTGATTTCTAATTAGATTTTTGATTTAACAATACCCACCACCCCGAAGAAACCTTTATCATCTGTAATTTATCTTGACACAGAGTTAGCGCTTTTACATGGTTACGTGCTTGAAAATGCATTGTGTTTCGATCGAAAGGCGGAAAATTTCAGCCAAAGTGCGCTGCGCCACAAAGCTGCAATACTACAGGCACCACATTTATGTGGAAAAGGAAACGACGACAGAAAAAAAGTGAACAGCAACTTGAATGTGTGTCAGCGACAAAGCAAGCCCACACACACACAGACAAGCCGAAACGGCCATGTACAATTGCAAAAGCTTCAAAGTGCTCGCTCTCACTCACACCACAGGCAGAGCAGGCATATGTATGCATATGTACACGCTTATATACACTGTACTTGCGCGCGCGGGTCTATATAAAACTGGTTTTGTGGCCGCGTCGCGCCGCTGCTTGTAGCCGACGACGGCCGCCGCACAAAGCACTTT